CGTTTCTTTTTCTCCCTTCCCCTTCCCCCCTCCTCCCCGTATTCGGAACTTGGGTGACTTCATTCAATTTAGCTTTCATCATTGAAATTTTTCCTATTATTGAAAAGTTCAAGTTACCCAAATCGAATTAACATAAAAAGTGTCAAATCTTGTATAAAAAAATTCCAACCGTGCGCGATCACTTTAAATAACGTTTAAAATTTTTAATATCCGTTTTATTATCATTATCATTATCATTATTATTATTTTTACATTCGAAAACGAGATTTATATATTTATGTACGTGCATGCATCCATCCATCCATCCATTTTTTTTTTTTTTTTTAACGTTCGGGAAAAAAAAAAAAAAAAAACAATTTATCGAATTAGTAATTGTCATTTCATTTCACGAATTGAAATTTTGAACTCGTGCCTTACACACGTCATTTTAACCCCGTCGTAATTTTTATAACCGACCTTATCATCATCATCATCATCATCATCATTATTATTATCATCATGGCATTACCACAAGTTAATTATTACACGAAAAACAAATTAAAAATTTTTTTTTTTTTTTTTTTTTTTTTTTTTTTACGCGAGTCATTTTCCCAGGAGGCAATCGTAAACTTTTTTTTCCCCCCCCCCCATTTTTTTTTCCGAGCATGCTTCGGGTCGAGGAATGGCACATTTAAAAAACAATAATAATAATAATAATAATGATTGAACTATAAAATCTATTAAGCGTGGAAAGATTTCAACAGGAATCCGTGAGTGGGAATCACAAAAACCCCCGAAAATTTAAAAAAAAAAAAAAAAAAAAAAATCTCCACGTGGACCTCAACGTTCATACCTCAGAGAGAGTGAGAGAGAAAGAGAGAGATGGGGGGAGGGGGAGGGAGACCGGCAACAAATATATAAAATAAAACGTGGAACGAATTTATTATATACGACGACACACGAAAACCGAAGGATTGCGTGCAAAAAATTAATTACAATAAATAAAACGGAAAAAACAGCAAAACAAATTTTTCTTATTATGTGTGGCGATTCAAAAAAAAACAAAATAAATTTTTTTTTTTTTTTTTTTAAATAGGAACTGGAATTAGGCAAAAGAGTGTAAAAAAGCCTAAATTTCATCACGTGATATTTTACTGACGTCAAACTTGACCTCCACGTGAAATCAAGAAATAATAATAATATTAAAAAAATTATTAAAAAATATAAAAAAAAAAAACTCGAAATTCGTAAGACAAGTATCATGCGAGTCAATTTATTATATTATTTCATTTCAAAAAAAAAAGAAAAGAGTTAAATCCTCGTTACGATACGCTAAACGCATACTTAATAAAAATAAATCCATCGATTATAAATCGTTAATATTTTTCCTTTTACAAACAAATAAATAACGTTCTGGTTTTTACATTAACGAAAAAAAAACACCCCTCAACCCCCTTCCGCTTCCCCCCCCCAAATAAAAAAAAATAAAAAATAAATAAATAAAAAATTGCGAAATTCGAAACAACTTCGAAAAAAAACTTGATTTTTTTTTTTTTTTTTTTGCAAATAAAAAACGCGCGTTTTTGGTAATTTTTTTTTTTTTTCATAATAATAATAACATCACATTACATAATTATTATTAATAGTAATAATAATAATAATAAAATATCCGGCTTGCGAAAAAAAAAAATTAATTTTGAGTCATCACCAACTTTAAGAAATTCTAAAAACTCACGTTTATTCACGCACACATTAAAGGTAAATTTTGGTTATTTAATTTTGTAAAACGGAAACGGAAACGACGACGACGACGAATGTATTCTTTCCCTTTCCTTTTTGCGTAAAAAAATATGTGACTTTCTTGAATGAATCTGGGGGGGGGGGGATAATTTTAAAAAAAAATTTACAATTCAACAGAGTCGTCGTCGTCGTCGTCGTCGTATTTTTACGTTACGCAAACAAAACTCAAAAACTCATGTGGGAAGGAAAACAACAACAACAACAACAACAAAACCACCACGTGCTCCTGTATTCACGTAATCGAAATCAAAAATGGAGAAAGAGAGAGAAAGAGAGAGAGAGAGAGAGAGGGAGAAAATTTTACGATCCGTTTTAAAAATAGAACAAACGCGTTAACCGAATTTCTATTTAAATAAATAAATAAATAAATAAAAATCAAACGTTTACGTAAAACCATAGAGGAATGTAAAAAAAAAAAAAAAAGGAACGAACCGAAAAAATGAATGAATGAATGAATGAATGAATGATTGGCACGTACCTTTTCGTGACGCTTACAACCCAACTCCCAATTCATTTGCATTTAAATTTTTGTTTTTTTTTTTTTGTTATTGTTTTTGTCAAACGATAAAAAATCGAAAAATCATTACTTCACTTACGTTAATTAATTACACGAGTTCGATAACAACAACAACGACAACGACAACAACAACAACCACCACCACCGAAAAAAAAAAAAAAAAAAACGTGATATTTCTTCGATTGTTCCACGCCATATTGTTAACCGTATTTTAACGGTAGACTCGATAGATCGATCGATCGATCGCCTAATCGCGCCTCGCCGCCCGGTCTTTGAAAATTGTTTTGAAACGTTGCGTAAAATATGCGTATATTTAAAAAAAAAAAGAATAACGAAAAAGATCTTAATAATAATAATAATAATAATAATAATAATAATAATAAAAGGGAAAACGTAACTTTTGCATTATTTTTTTTTTTTGCAACATGAATTGAAATGAAATCTTTTCCCATTTAAATTTTTGTTGTAAATAATAATTTTTTATATTGCTTACCTGTGTGGAAGCTTCGGACGTTTGAAATGTTTTATTATTATTCGTCAATTTTTTCGACGACGAAATTAACTGAAATGAAATTTTTTAAAAATCAAATTTAAATAATAATAATTTGAAAATTTGTTATTTTTTGTTTTCATTGCAACTCCGTTGTCCTCGTCGTCGTTGTTTTTTATTGATATGAATACGTTTATTGAAAAATTCCTCATTAAACATTTGAATGAATAATTAAAAACAACGGATGTCGAATGCGTAATAATAATAATAATAACACGAGTACAAATTTAATAATGGAAGATCACAGTTTATTTAATTGACGTAAATCGTATAACAAATTTTCATTTCGTTTTCCTCAAACAAACAAACAAAAACAAAAACACAAAAGGTCACCGCAAATGTCAATTTCTTCATATCATTTGTTATTTCCTTTCAATTGATTATTTTATACTGTGATCATATAATAAACGATAAAGTATTATAATTTATCATAATTTCATCACCTAAATAATTTTTTACAACCATTTCCATAAAATTCACACCATTGTCTATTTTATATCACGTAAGAAAAATAAAAAAGAAAAAAAGAAAATTCGATAACGGTTTTACAAATATTTATTTTTAATCATTTTTTTTTTACGTAACCTCCTTTTTTCCTCTCCCTCTCTCTCTCTCTCGATAAGAGGAATCGTCTAAATTCAATTAAAATTTTTTTTTAATTAATGGAATTAATTTTTCCAAAAAAAAAACTTGCCATTCACAGTAAAACGCATAAAAAGTCCTAAGGAAATAAACGTGAAAGTTTCACCAGATAAATAAATAATATTAAATTAAAGATTTTTTTTTTACCGTACCTTAATTTTTTTTTCACTTTTTTAATAATGTAAACGGTTATAATAAATATTTGTTACTTTTTTTGTAAATAAAATACAAAATTAATTTAAATAAAAAAATATACACAAATGTAAAGAAAAAAAAGTTTAGCATGTTACAAAATAAAATGACATTTAGTTATTATTATTTGCCAATGTTTCTCGACATATAAAGTATTTTTTTTTTTTTTTCCTTTTTTACAATTTGATATATCTTGAATAAAATATAACTTCATCACAATCGAATAGTTACCTGACCTCGATAAACTTTGAATAAATGCCCAAGGCATAATGTGTCATGCATTTTAAACAATTATTTGTTTTTTTTTTTTTTTTTTTTTTTTTTTTAATGATAAAAGGGGTAATAAAAAATTTAAAATTTAAAAAAAAATATTTTTAAATACTTTTTACGATTACCCATTGTTAAATGAGTTTTTAAATTATTTTTTTATTGTAAATAAATGTGGAAAACAATTAACATTAGCGTAATTTATATCTTTAGTTAAATTGACATGTTTATGAGACATTAATCCAAATGAATTTCTTTTTATTTTGTAATACTTTTAATAATGATAAATTTAAATAGAAAATTATGAACATGGGGAATTAAAATTAACTCTTTAAAAAATTATCGAAATAAAATTCATATCACTTTTCAATTAACTCTCATTTTAATTGAAAAGTTTATATAAAATGTTCATGGTGAATCATAACAATCAAACTTAACCTAAATATAAAAGGATGGAAAAAAAAAAAAAAAAAAAAAAATGTTTTTTTTTTTTTTCAAACAATGCAATGTACTTAATGTAATGTTTATAATATGAGTAAACAATAAGTAAACATTATTTAAAATATTACGGTGGCATATATGACCTCATTGTTTTAAAAAAAAAAAAAAAAAAAACATGAATTTTTAAGACCATAGGGGAAATTAGTTTGTTTACTTAATTGCGGATAGAATTTACAGGTTTTATTGTTATATCAACAAAGTTAAATATCAAATTTAATAAACAATTGTTGTATTTATCATTAGTTAATGATAGATAAACTTACCTCTTTACAAGCGGTACGAAAAGAATAAGACCACGAATAACAAGTTGGCGGAAATATTGTTACTTCGGAAGCCATGTTTGTAAAACAAAATACACCTGGTTGAGAATACAAGTCGTCTAAGGGGACACATTGTTCGGATCGTGTCAATTGTCTATTAGCTTCAAACTTCTGACACGACGTGATAACTTTTTGAACACACTTTACGCGGCAAACGTTAACGGTTTATCATTCAAACAACCTGTAGATGTTTTTTTTTGGACATGTTTTGATGTAACTTATTTTTAAAATAATGACTGAAAATTTATTGTCCCTTTTACACATTCAAAAGCTTGGTGAGCTGCATTATCTTAATTTTAATATGTTTTAAATGCACACAAATTTTTATAAATTTATTCTCTAATTGTATTTTTCTCACTGCATGTCTGACCGTTGTAAAAAAAAAAAAAAACAATGTTATTAAATCATGTTTTCTTAATATTAACTATGAAAATATGCTTGAAACTGTTTTTTTTTTATAAATCTTAATTTTGAAATTTGCTTCTTATAATCACAAACAACGTTTAGATTATTTCATCTACTTAAAAAAATAAAAAATTTATGTTACTTTACATCAGTTAATGTTTTTTTTTTTTTCTATATTTTTGCTTTGCATTTTTTTAGGTCATCCACTTGAGGAAATTAGAGTTAGAGCCTTATCCAGTATATTATCAAAATACACATTGAATTTAGTTGATGAGAGTAATTTTGAAAATACAAAATTACTTTTGGAAAAACTACTAGAATGGTTTTATCATGATAAATATTCCGATGAAATAAAAGTTTTAAGTTTAATTCTTAAAATTTTAAAAAGCACAAAAGCAAATTCAATTCTCCCTGATGTTTTATCACAGGGTTTATTAAAAAAGTTTTATAATTTAGAAAAAAAAATCAGCACTAAACATTCCTTATTAATTGAAGAAATTAAATCATGCCTCAAAAAATTTGATGGCTGCTCCGTAAATAACAATAAATTAGATGTGAATGATATGATGGGAAAATCTAAAACTACCAATATTATTAATTTTAATGGTTGTAGCAACATAGAAAATAAAAAAAAATGTGATTGCAAGACAGAAAATAATGATAAAAAAAAATACATTCCATTTATAAATTCAAAAGCAATTCAAGAATCGGATGAAAAAATAGAACTTGAATTTAAGGATTCGAGACGACCGACAAAAGAACATAGTGAGCCTAATTGTTTTATAATTGAATTTTTTCCATGGCAAAGTTTAGCAGAAAGTAATGAACAAATACTCACATCAGTTTTTGATAATTTGAAATATCCTGACAATAAAAAATCAATTTTTCAAGCTTGTCAATTTTTTAATGAAGTCGTTTTAAGAGACTTCCCATCTGAAATTTTTATTCAACGACCATTGTTAATAAGAACATTCATACAATTAATGTCAACTTTAGAAAATAGTGCAAAAATTCCTGTGATTAAATGTTTAATCAATAGTATTGAATACATTCATAACAGTTTTCAACTAAACTTAAATCCATCGTATTTTTGTCAAAAAAAAGAATTTTATTCATTATCCGTTTTTTCAAACGAGTCAAACAATAATGAAAAAGACGAAAGTAAAATTGTGAATCAGTTTAATTTCAGTATTAATTGCGAAGAAAACGAATACAAACTTGAAAGTGAAAATGATAATAAATTAAAAAATTACCAATTATCATTGCCTAAATTTACATTTGAACTTCTTTTTCAAAGTTTGCCCATGTTGAAAAAGGATTTAAACGATGAAGAAATAAATTGTTTGCTCATATTAAATTATAAACTCATAAAATTTTTATTTTCAAATTTAAAATCACATGTTTGGTTTAATAAAAATGATTTAAAAGACAATTTTTATAAAATATTTGGGATTTTTCAAGAATTGTTGAAGTTTTACAGACAGAGTAATAATAATAATAATAATAAAGTTATTTACATAATTATATTGAAAATTATAATTCAAATTTTGAATTCTTTAAAAGTGCCTTCGGAAATAATGCTCAGTGAAATTTTACCGAGAAGTCTTCATTTAGAATTAGGAAATTGCATATTCGATTGTTCTGTATATATTATGTTTCCACAGTTGCATGCCAACATTGTTAATTATGTAAAACAATTTTTTGGTCAAAGAGAAAAAATTATTTTTCAAGATTACAAAGATGTTATATTAATATTAGAGTCTATGAAATCGGCCATTGTTTTTTTAAAATGCAGAAGTAAATTGAAAAGTAAAATGGACAAATTGGAATGTGTTTCTCAATCTGTTCCCAGTTTGGATTTTCATCAAAATTTCAATTTCATTCATTTTTTTGTTACTTCTTGCCTTTTGAAATGGAGCAAAGCGGAAATGACTGATAAAGAATTGGAAATGAGAGCTAATATTTTGTTAAAATTATTATCTCATAATAATATAAGTGTGAAAATATGCACGTATCAAGAAATAAATGAATATGCTGTGAAATTTCTTGGAAAAGAAGAAGCTGTCACTCCCAGTTGTCTTCATCCTGGAGATAAAATGGAATTTCTTTTCGACGTTAATATTTTAACCGAAATGATATGCCACGGTTTGATTTCGGAATTTCCCGAGGTAATAATTTAAAAAAAAAAAAAAAAATTTGTTTTTATTATAAAATAATTAAAAAAAAAAAAAAAATAATGGTTTCTAATAATTTGCTGTTTTTCTCGGTTCTTTCACAGGTCAGCAAGTGTAGTAGTAACGTGTTGACACTCCTTTTAAAAAGTAAATTTATCATGTCGGAAAATTGTTGGAAAGATTTTTTAAATTCTCTCATACCATGTTTATGTTATCTTGAATGTTTTGCCGATAAGGCCAACATTTTGGGAAGATGCATAATTAAAATGTTCGATCCGGATGTTGCGAAAACAACGGGACTTCCCCATCTCGAGCTTTTAAAAGGAAACATTCGACTTCTTTTTTCGAAAAACGATTTGACGAGAGACGAAGCCATGCCGAGACTTTTTTGGCTGTTGAACAAAGAAGATTTGGAAAATAAAAAATTACCGAAAATGAGCGTTCTCACCGGTTTGAATTTGAACGGGATTTGCATCGGTGTTAAGCCGATCGATTATTCTAACACACCCCAAACTTTTTACAATCCCGGTAAATTGTGGGACGTTTTGGAAATTCTAGGATCTGAAAATTTAGAACCAAACATTCGAAGATCTGCACTTTCCCAATTGAGCGCAATGCTTGATGACGTATCTCTCCATTCGGTTTTCGTCGAACAAAAAGGAATCGCGAAAATATTGAAAATTCTCGACAATAGTTTGGTAAACAAGCGAAAAAATTCCGAATAAACCATTTAACTGCCAACTCAAACCGTTTTTTATTAATAATTATTTTTCAGGTTGAGAAAGAGTATCGGAATTATCCCGATTCAGTCATTCCGATCGTCAATATTTTGCGACACGTATCATTACATAATGGCACAGTGTGCCTGGAACTCGGTTCTAACATCAACGCATTGTACAACATACTTCGAAGCCTTTTTCTTTTCAGCAACGACGAAAGGTTGCGACGAAATGCCGTCGAATTACTTTCCCTACTCTTATATTCCGATTGTATATTAAGAGTACCTGCCAACGAATCCAACAAACGCATCCTGTCTTTTCCCGACATTGTAATTTCTAAAATGAATTTACCCTTTTTAACACACGTTCACTGGAGAAATAGTAAACATTTGGAGCCTTCAATTAAAAGTATTCCGAATAATTATTTTTATAGCGGTTAGACAAAAAAAATTTTTTTTTTTTTTTTTTTTAATTGTTTGGAATTCCTTTCAGAAAGTATTCTAAGTAAAGAAACCTGTTCTAAATTACTACGTGTTTTCTGGAGCGTACAATGGATCGGAAACATATCCGATTTTTTATCAATTCAACCGTCCGAAATAAAAAATAAAACTTATTATCATGGAATTCCAAACGATCTTGTAATTTCTTACGACGACATCATCGAATTAAAAAAATGTTCTTTCGTGCTGACCGTTAAACAAACGCTTTGCGACATACAAAATGCGACGACCCACGAAACTGTCTGCAATTACATTCAAAAACTTCAAAGGTTACTTTTTTTTTTAATTTACCGCAAAAAAAAAAAAGAAAAAAATTAAATTAAGTGATATAAGGCCATTTTAAAAATTTATGTTTTAGTTATTTGATTTTTTACAACGTTGAAAAATCGGGAGGTGAAAAGATGAGCAACGAAGTTGCGACTGATAACGTTTTATCACACATGTTATGGGAATCGACGTTGGAAAGATTTTTAACATCTATGCCAGCCTGCGGTTTGGACGAGTCACTTTTATTATACGTCGTCGAATTCATAATAATATTATTGAAAAGTTTCAAATCCGAACGTTTGATTAATTGGATGGAAAAAATTTTAATCGACACGCACAAACCGTTTTTTAAAATATTAAAAAATTTAGAATATGAAAAAACGGAAATGAAGGTATTTTAAAAATAATTACAACTTAATCCGATTGCACTTTGTGAACCTTTTTTGATTTTTACTCAGGGAAGTAAGTTACCCATTCGGATAATAGAATTAACCAGGCAGATAATTTCATACAAGGAAAATTTGGATTCGAAAAAATGGTTTTCATACATGGAATTGATTCACGATCATTTAACGTTGAAAGATTTTCACGATGCAGCCTACGTCGATTGGCTAATGGAACTTTTGGTCGAACTTACGAGTTAGTTTATACTTAATAAATATTTAAAAAAAAAAAAAGAAAAGCTCGAGTTTAATCATTGATATTATTTTGCTGTCAGGTAAATGCAGTTTCGGCGAAAACAATTCGGAATTTTATAAAAATTTAATCGTGAGAATCGTTGAAGTTTTAATCGCGTTTCACTGCACGCAAGATTCGACGGTTTCTTTCATTGGAATGAACATAATTAAAAATTCAATATTTGCATTAAATCACATTTTGTGGGATACTCAGTTACATTACGAGGTAAAAACCACTCGATTTCATTTTAAATATTGTTAAAATTGTAAAATGCAAAAATTTGCCCTTTAGGATTGGGAAGACGCGTGGTTTAGCGCGCTGACAAAAGTCATTGGACACGTTGAAAATCCCAATTACTGTTGGCTCCTTTCTTTTTGGTTTCTGCGGGATCCGATCGCACGATCTGCCGGATTTCAATTGTTTTCGGGATTGACGATCACGTCGAAAGGTTGCGAACTATTGATAAAACGACTCCACGTTCCTTTCGCACACATTTGGTCGGTGGGATTCAACGTTTTTTTCGACGATAACGAATCGTGCATCGTCAGGGAAAAATGCGGATTAATGCTTTCGAATTTGATTCGAAACGGATCGAAACACTTTAGCAAATGTCAGTTTAATATTTTTTTAATAATTTAATAATTGTATTGTGCATCGACGATGACGTTTAAATAATAAATAAATTTATTTTTCAGGTTTATCCGATGAATTTCAAAGCATTAATTTCTATCAAAATGTACTCGATGTCATCGATAATTTTCAATACGATAATAAAATAACCGAATTGATTCTCGATGAGAAGAAAAATGTTTTTATAGGTAATATTATAGCGTTGGAGTTTTTAATATTATTATGTAAAATTTGTTTACTTACCCCAAAATTTTCACAGGAGAGAAAAAAAGTACGCCATCTTATCTCAACGCCGTTCTCACCGTCTTGTCGTCTGCTCTTTTTAACAATCCATCAACCGTTTGCGAAAATATTTTAAATAACGGCATATTAAAAAGCTTAATAAGGTAAATTAACGAAAGATTAAATATAAAATACAAGCGCCTTCAAATTAATAATAATAATAATAATAAATGATTTTAGGGTTTTAGGCGAAGGTCCGGATTCAAGTTTTACATGTGAAAATCATTGGTACTTCATTGATGTCATAGAAATGTACACGACGAGTTGCATTTTGATTAAAAAATGCGTTTTGACGAGTTATCGAGCTCAATCCTTCATCATCCAATCCCAATTTGCTTTAAATTATTTTTTTTCAATGATAAATTATAATCTTTACTGTAAGTTGTTTTTTCAATCGGAGGAAACAAACAGTAAAATTGATATGGGTTTATAATTTTCTTTCTCTCTCTCTCTCTCTCTTTCTGCAGGTAAATCCTTTGAAGCAATGTCCAGTTTCAAAACGGAATTATGGTGCGAAATCCTGGATTTGTTTTCGGCCATATTGAAAAGCATACCTAAAAGCGAACAAAACGACGTGGATCAATTTTCCGCTTTCATGGCAATAAACAAATGCCTGACGAAAAACGGAATCGATTGTTTCATATCGTCCCTGTACATTTCACTGCTCGACGAATCGTCTTCTCTGAGACAATCGGTTTTGAAATTTTTGATTAATTTGTTACGTCACGAAATAATGATATCGACGAAAAAATCCGTCACGATTTCCGACATATTCGAACGGAAAGTTTCCGAAGATGTTTTGAACGTATACAAGGCATCACGTAAAAGAGACTACAACGTGCCCGACAGCTTGACGTTGAGTTTTGGAATTCGTTTGACGGATATTTTGCTTCAAATGTTTTTACTCAACATCGAAGACATATCGCATCCGTTGAAAACGATCACGGCGGATGCATTGGGAAATTTGCTCGTCGTGTTTCCACCCTCTCGTGATTATTGCTTGAAACAAAATCTGTCCGTTTCCGTTATTTTGTACGTGAAACAAATTTGCGTCAAATTAAGTCTCGATTGCGCCAACAGTTTGAAAAAATTATCGGATAAAAAAAGAGTAAGCGTTCGAACCTTTTATTCTTTTTGTTTTTTTTAAATAATTTCCTAAATTTTTTTTCATTACCTTTTTTTTAGCTTGAACCATTGCTGCAAAATTTAGAAATTTTATTTCGTTTAATAAATAATTTCATGCATAAAAATGAAAATGGAAAAATGGACGTCGCAAATAGAGATTTTTCAATTGTCGTTCATAAATTATGGCCGTGGTGCGTAACGAAACAATCTCTCCTGTTGGTGACTCTTAAAATGTTGTGCACGTACACGAACGATTGCTCTCAAGGTACTGAATCCTGGATCTTTGTAGAGTCGTTAATTTACAAAATGAAAAATTGACTTGAGAAACATTCCAATGATTTCAGGTTGTAGATCGTTGGCGGCGTCGTCGAATTGCACAGTGATGAGCCTGAGAAAAATGCCAGGATCGGTTACGTTGATGAGTGCAATATTCAATCAGGTATCGATGGAAATGGATACGATGTCGAAATGCGAACAACATCAAACGATCGGATTCTGTTTGGAAATTTTATCCAATTGCTGCGGAGTGAACGAATGTCGGACGGTCATATCGAAAAGTAATCTTTTTCAAAGTTTTTCCAAAATTAATTCGAAAAAACGGAAAAAAAGACCCAACAGCGAAGCAATCATCGAATCGTGGCTTCATTTTTTTCTAACTTTTTCGTCATACCAAGAAGGACAACTCACCATCGCCAAGGTTTCCTTTTTTTTTTTATTGTTAAAAATTTTTCCAAAAAAGGAAAATTGTTTCCCATCAACCGTTTTCCTTTTCAGAATCAGGAACTCCTGGATGACATCATTTCCATCGGAGGAACAACATCCAAATCCAATCATCGGATCCAAGCATTGAAAATATTGAGAAACGTTTGTTTCAATCAAGGCAACAAACATCGAATGTTGTGTTCCGGACCATTTTTAAATCTTCTCCTGGACACTTTGAATTCCGAATTCAAACGGGAAGAAGTAGAACAAGTCATCTATGCGATATGGGCTTTGGCGTGCAATTCGCAAAAAAATAAAGTTATTTTAAAAAGTGCCGGATTCGACGTGAAATTAGAATCTGCGAAAAGAAATATGTCGTCGTTTGATGGCGATTCGAAAACAAACGATCTCATCGATGTCGTCGTGGAAATTTTTAAAAATAAATAAAAGAAGAAAAAAAAGAAAAACCGCGTCTGTGATAAAACAAAAATAATTTTTTATGGTTGTGAAAAAACAAAAAAAATTATTTTCTTAAATTTAATTTTTCGCGATTTGTTAAAAAACAAATTTAAAAACAAAAAAAAAAAAAAAGAAAAAATTTTATTTAAAAAAAAAAAAAAAATGACGGACGAGTAAAAAACAAACTTAAGCCATATTTTTTTTAAAGCGGATTATATAAAAAAAAAAAAATCGTTTTAATCGTCGTCGTCGTCGTCGTCGTCGTACGTCGATTGTCTTTTATATATAACGAAAAAGTTGATGATGATGATGATGGTGATGGCGACGACAACGACGATGGGTAAAAAATTAAATTAAATTTTTTTATAACGGTTCACTTTTTCAAAAAAAAAAAAAAAAAAAATGTCACTTTTACACAGAGCATAAGAATTGGGTCTCCCCGTTTGTATTTTCTAATTTCCAACAATCGGATCTCGATTTTTGTTTGTTTGTTTTGTTTGTTGTTTGGTCGATTTCTTCATCATGGATTCCTTATTTTTTTTTCGAAGAATTTACCTTACTTTTATATATAAAAAAAAAAAATAAAAAAATAAAAATTAATAAAATTTTTTTTAAAAAGCAAAGTTACAAAACGTTTTTCTTTAAATTTTTCCAGTGCGAGTAATAATAATAATAATTATTATTATTATTATTATTATTACGGATTTAAATGCATTAATTGATTGTATTGATAGTAATAAGCAAATGTAAAGCTTTTGTTTTGTTTTTAATTGTAAAATGTCAGAGAGCGCGTGACCGTGTGAGTAATTTATCGTATAATAAGCATTATTATTATTATTATTATTATTGATTGAATACGCCATTTTTTATACTTTACGGGTACGTTTAATAATAATGTATCTGTTGGAAAATCTGTTGATGTGTGTTGTTGGTAAAAAAAAAAAAAAAAAAAAAAACCAAGAAGAAGAGAAATATGTCGGTATTGTAAAGAGATGTTGGTGACAGTGACTCACTTTCGGGTTGATGATGAAAAGTCTTCCCTGGAAGAAGGTACGCGTTGACTTCGACTTTTCTTTTTAATCGAATCTACTTCTACCAAAGAAAAGTAGGTAAAATTTTATTACCGTATTCTCTACGCATTTAATTACATCCATAAATTTAAAATTACCAGGTTTTTCCGGATGAATTTTTCTTATAACGGTCGTTTTCGTTTTATCGATATCAGGGATTGGATGATGATGATGATGATGATGATGGCTCGATCTACTTGTTCTTTTTACGTTCGACGTCGACGATGATGATTCTTTGACCTTTTCGATTGACCTGATAATAAAAGAAAGACGGTATTATTATTATTATTTTTTTTTTACGGGAGAATATAATGTAAAAATTTTATGTGTACCTGTGCCTAGTCGATGACGAAGTCGAAGATTCAATTTTTTTTGATTTGGTTCTGTGTCGTGATGAGGTTTCTTTCTTTTCCGGTGATTGAGTTTCCGGTTTGGACGTTGATAAAGATTTTTGCCTTCTCATTCTTCTTTTTGATTCTTCCACGTAGGAAGGAATATCTTCGGAAGAACTCGGATGTCCCATTATGGCTTCTCTACTCGTTGCTCTCTGTAACAAACGAGTACTTCTACTCGTGGATGGTTTACTACTCGTTGTTGATTTCATCCTAGATGATGATGATTTTGAATGATCACGTGATGGTCTTATTGATTCTTTATTTAAACTTTCTACGCTCGAAGCAGAAGATTGTAGATTTCCGTTCATTTTGGTGGTGGTGGTACTGGTGGTGGTTGTTGTTGTTGTGTTTCGTCTCGCGTCAGTCTTTGATACTCTTTTCCCTTCGGAAATTGTATCCAAATTATTTATTTTATCTTTTCTTATTATTCTTCGAGATCTTTCTTCTTCGCTGCTACCGACGAGTGAGGAATCATCTGTGTAACCGTTAACAGCCATTAATATTTGATCCGCTGCTTTTTTCAATTCTTCTAGTTCTTCATCCGTTTGATTTTTTTCTCTTTGTTTTCCTTTTTCCGTTCTGTAACTTTTAACTTGATACTCGTTGACGTATTCGTGATTCATTAATTTTTCCGAAGGATTTAATTTGTAATTTTGTCTCGTTTCTCTCATCGTTTTATTCGAGTGTTTGTTGCTGCTGGTGCTGGTGCTGCTGATTTTCGATTTTTCTCTCACGTAATTTTCATCTACCTCGTATTTTTTCTTATCATTTTCCCGGGGGGATCCACGATATGATTTCCTATGAGGTGATTTGTATCTACGATTATCATCATTTTTATAAACGTCATTATTATTTTTGGTGGATTTATGAAATTCTTCATCGGTATCATTATTATTAACGTAATAATTTTTTTTCCGCTCTGTTTTATCTAAAGGTCCATCGGATATTGTATCGGTACTCGATACGGAACTTCTTTGAAGGTATTTAGAATATTTTTCAGACAATGACAAATCGTTCAAGTACGATACACGTTCTCTAGGCTTCGAATGTAAATTTCTTTCTCTCCTATCAATATCGTATCCGTTCGAACGCGTTGTGCTTTGATAAGATCTCAATTTTGAATCGTTTTCATGGTGTCTTCTCGTATAATAACCACCACCACCACCATCCTCATCATCATCATCATCGTCATCATCATCATCATCACTGTATTTATATGGTCCCGAATTGATTTTCGATGAAGTGATTGAAGGTTTTACTTGATATTTACGAGTCGGATTCGATTTCGGATAAATTGTAGCCGGTTGAATTGGTTCTGCGTTGTTTTTTATTTCTATATACGTAAACAAACAAACAAACAAACAAACAAAAATAATAAAATACAATCGAACAAGTTTATTAAAAATTATTTCGACTCCCTACAAAAAGCGAAAATTTATTAAATATAGCTTAATTAAGCCCCCTAAAGTAGATTTTCAATGTCAGTCATACCAACCTTCAAATGTGAAATTTTTATGGAGTTTTTAAATATTTATTATTATTATTATTATTATTATCATTAATATTTATTATTTTTTATAGTTATTTTGAGAGCGGGTAGTAGGGAGTGATGAATAGTGATTCGTGTTTTGTTTTTCTCGGGTATTTCCGGGTTCCCCCTCCCTCCCTAAGTTCGAATTGATTTTTTTTTGTAAGGAATTTATATATTCGTTATTATTATTATTATTATTAATATTAATAGCGTGTTAGAATACAAACCTTTTTTTTCATTATGATTAGATTCTAATTTTTTAAAACGTTGCATTGAATGTTGAAATGATTTTCTAGAGCCGGGTGTAGTACCGAAAGGTCCTCCATCAGTTTCGCTGTCGGATCCTCCGTGTCCGGTACTCATGTAAGAACGAACTTCTTCGTCGGCCAAAAGGTCACTGTCATCGGTATCGTAATTATCTTTCGATGATGTTTTAAGGGATGATTTTTTCGTATAAGAACCATCGTCGCTCGACGATTTCAAATTTGTACCGTAGTACAAACGATTATGATGTGATTCCTTATTATAATTTTTTCTAGAATTTTCTTCGTTTCCATGATGAAAAAAATTTTTTTTTTCTCTCAAACTTTTCGTCTTACGTAACGACCCGATTTCTTCTTCGTAAATATCTTTAAAATCTTTATCTAAATTATCGGTGAAATTTTTTAATTCTTCTTCTAAATCCGAATGAGTGTATTCGGATTTAGAATTTTTATATATCGTCGGTATAGGTTTTCGCGTTTTAGGTTTGAAAACGGTTTTCGATAACGAATCGAATTGATCGATTATCTCGTGTACCGTTTTCGATAATTTGGGCATGTCTTCGATTTGATGATTATTTAAATCTTGAAAAGAAGAATCACGTGTTGTTTTTTTAACCAATGACGTCGATTTCAAATCGTTAACGTATTTATCGAAATCTTTTTTAGTACCAGACGACCAACTTCCGTATGGATTTAACAAGGATTTTCCGGATGATGACGTTTTTCCACCACCATTTATCATTTTATTATTATTCTTATTATCCGTTGAAAATATATCTCCTCCATGTTTGTTGTTATCATCCTTATCAATAGTTTTCAAATTGATTAATATTCTTGTTGTTTGATAATTTCGATTATCATCCGTCATTTTTTCATCACCGGGTGTTGTTGTTGGAAATCTCATTACCGGTTGATTACTTGTTGTTAATTCATCTGTAACATTACGTCATAACATTCTGTTACGATCCACATATCCCCTACTATCAATCAATCAATCAATCAATCAATGACTTTTCTATTTAAAAGAACAACGATTTAATCTCGAAAAAAAAACAAAACTAAATGCAAAATTTTGTTTTTGTTTTTTAGGAATACAAAATTATTATTATTATTCAGAACGAGTACTCGGACACAAGAAAAGAAAGAAAGAAAAAAAGAAAAATGTCGGACGCGATTTGAAGAAGAATTGAGCAAACCAGCAGAGTGAGAAAGATTATGATACGTTTATTCCAGTTTTTGATGATGTCATCTCAAATGAACATTAGTGATGACGTAATTAAAATGTCGCGGTGGCGGGGGAGATGGCGGGTGGTAAAGAATGTGACGAAGAGTGTTGATGAAGAAGAAACCGGAAGTTGGGCACCGATGTAATCGTGGTTAATATTAAATAGTTGGTTAGTTTATCATTATTACTACTACTCGCTAATGTACTAAAAGCTAATGTGTAAAACAAAAAGGTAGTTAAGTATGCGTGTGCGTGTGCGTGTGTGCGCGCGCGGTTGCATTAAAAAGAACTTTTAATAAATCGATGACGTCATAATTTGTTTAGAAAAGTTATTATATTACTAACTACTGCGAGCAAGCGGATTTGAAAAGCCTATTGCGTTTATTATTTTTTCTTTTTCTTTCATCTTGTTTACTTATTACTACATTTTATACAAGTAGTAGTAGTAGTAGTAGTAGTAGTACTAGTACTCGATGAGATGATGGTAGCTTGTTTTAAAACACAAGCAAAAGAAAAAAGAAAAAAAGTAAATGTTAAAAAAATAGTAATAAAAGGTGGTGGTACCTACCACATGAAAGTACGGTTCGTTCCTCTCTCGTCGAATATTTTGTTTCTTTTTTTATGACGTCATCAAAATTTTTTCCAGAGTTTTGCCAATAATTGAGAGTTGCGGGGGCGGCGGCAGTAGGAGTAGGAGTTGCAGTTGATTTTTTCGTTTCGTCGTGAATTTTATTAGAAGGATTCGTCGCGCCATTTTGAACGACGGTCATTTCTCCAGATCGAAAATTAATTTTTGTCGAATAATTATTATTATTATTATTTGATTTCATTTGTTCGACTTGTTTTATCCTTTCGGCGACAGAAAGTTTTGGCATTTCCTCGTTCGATATTGACATTTTATTATTATTATTATTATTATTGGATTCATCGGGAAAATTAAGTGAAACGTTTTTAAATGTTATGTCGTGTGGTAAACTTCGTCTCTTGTAATCCACCGAATGTTGTTCGATGTCTTTTCGGGATTTCGTATTTTCCCAAAATTTTTTATGATCCCCTTCTTCGGTTTTTCTTAAATTTTTCAAACGGATTTGAAGTTCCGTTTCACCGTCGCTAGAACATAATTTTTTATCTTCTTCCGGTTTTTTATTATATATTTCGTCGAATCTTTTGTTTTTTAACGTGACCGTAGATTTCCAAACGGGTGCCGCGGAGGAATCCCCCCTCGTCGGACTCCTCACGTCAGGCATTTTTACGTTTTTATTATCATCGTAATCCCCGTTTTCTCCTAACAAAAATGAATTCCTGTAATTTTTCAATATGCTTTTGGGTTTGTTAGAATCTGTTAAATTATTATTATCATTGTTGTTTTCGAAAGGTTCTTCGGCGACGTCGTACAACCAAGAATTTTTACGTTCGTAATCATCCGTTTCTTTTCGTTCTTTCGATTTCGGTAATGTTTCCATGACGATTCTAGAAAGTTCTTGTAATTCCGCTTCGATTTTATCATTTATTGATTCGGAATTATTATTCGACGTCAACAGCATTGTTTTTTCAAATTGAGAATCCCCAAATTTTATTTCCGGTAAATTTTGATTAACGTTTTTAGAAATAATGGATCCCGTACTACGTCTTCGTCTTCGAAACATATCATTCGGCGGAGGTTTACCATCCGTTTCGACGATGTTAAATTTACCTGATTCGGCAGCAAAGTGAACTTCCGTTTTACAAAATTCAACTTTTTTACTCTTTTTCTGGTTACCCGTTTCGTTGGTTTCCGGTTTATTATTATCATCTTTGGTTTGAGACGACGACGAGGACGACAATACGGGTTTCGGATAAGTTTCCGGTTGTAATTTTTTCTCATCCGTTTCATTTTTTTGTTCGAAATCCCAATTTCTATCCATGAGTTTGGTACCTCTCAATTGAGATATCCAGGGATTTCCGGTCGAACGAAAAGAAGATTTTAAATTTTCCGAAGTTTTTACGGAATATGATGGAATGGGTGATTTCCTGTTCCAAACGGATTCACCGCACGTAGTGGGATCATCTTCAACGTAACCGTGGGATTTATTTTTAAAATCTGATCTTTTAGAATTTCCAGAATAGTTAAAATAGTCATTCGAATAACCGTCTAAATAAACGGAATTGATTCCTCTGTCTGGAGAAAGTTTCTGATCATTATTAAAACAATTATCTGTCGGATCTTTTTTAACTCTGACTGTAACGACAGTAGACGTGGGTCTTTCACTCTTAGAGCTCAACGGTGATTCTGGTTTTGTTTTGTTCCAAAACGAATCCGTATTTTTCGACCAATTGGGTACACCCATGGTTTCCGTTGACTGACATATCCCGCTGTCGGTTGATGAGTCCATGTGATTCTTTTTATTATTATTAAATTTATCAAATTTATTGTATTCGTCAACTTGTTCGAAACCGTACGATTTTCTTCTCCTGTACCATTCGGATGTTCTCGTTGCGTTATTCGAATTTTTATTCGAGGATCTAGATTCTAAGCTTCCCGTACCGTTAATGTTAGGTTTTTTGTTAGTGTCATTAACCGAATCTAAACCGTAGTCGAAACTATTTATTCTAGACGATGATGTGGATTCTTCTTTTTCAGTCGCTATACCATCATCTTTACCTTCGTTGTCGCTAAAATTAGATTTTTTCAATCTATCTCGTACTTGTTTTAACGTTTCCGGTGATATAAAACAGTCTTTGGTTTTGAGAAATTTCGATTTCCCATAAGACTCATTTAGCCTGTCGGGGCTTGAAGACGTGTAAGTGGAACTTCCGTGTCTTAGCAACCTTTCGATTTCTGCGGCTCTTTCTTTTAACGATTTTGTCGGACTTCCGTCGTCGTAATCATCGGCGGCGGTGTCGCAGCAGTCTAATTGATTTTGTTTATGACATTGTAAACTCCTTCTCACTTTCGAAGAACGTCTTAATAAACTTTCATTGTCCGATTCAATAATTATATTTTCATTACTACAACTCTTTTGCCGGTTTAAATTATTCTTAACGGAACAACCATAATCGTTTGTTGATGATGATGTTGATGATGTAGGATTTGTAACGTCGGTTATAACCACACCGGAACGTTCACTTTCTGTATCGGAGTCTTTATTATTATTATTATTATTATTATTATTATTATTATTATTATTATTGAGTAAATTAAATGATTGACTTCGATTTTTAAAATCGTTAAATTCTCTAAACATTTCATCTCTGGCTTGTTGATGAAGACGTTGGCATAATCTAAATGCAGAAGAAGAAGAAGAATCATCTCGGTATGCGTTGGTATCGGCATTAGAAGACTGACTGATCAAACTTCGAGGACGCGTTGGGGGCCGGCGACCTCCGATCGACCCACTACGTCCCACACTCCCTTTGGTCTTTTGAGAACTCAAATCTAAAGAATTAACAGGTAACTGCAAAAGAAAAGAAAAGTAAAAATATTGTTACTTTGATCATCGGATTAATGCGGTACTATCATCGTCTGCTACAAACCTCTAAATCTCCAAAACCTTTGTCATTGGTCGAAGTCCATTTTTTGGAGCTTGTCGTTACCGTTTGAGTTCTTATGACTTGCATCGAACCTCCTGGTACTTTTGTTTGAAACACTTCCATTTGTTTTCTTTGCCTTTCTTGAAAACTACCATCGGGATTGTTTCTTTCTCTCGAATCAATCACCTGGAATCATTAAAAAAAAGGATTTCGTAACGTCCGTTGAAGTCGTAAATGAACACGCACACACACACACGCACCTTTCCATAATTATGAGCGGCGTTATTACTTCTGGCTGTCCAATGATCCGTTTCGATTTTAGCTTTTTCTCTCACTCCAGTACGTCTATCAATCCGAGACCATTCTTCAATGTTTTTCCTATTGTAAGGTAATCCGACAGCGTTGCCGCCGGGGCTATTACTCCTCGGTAATCTCATCGGTACCACTTCCATTTTTTTTAAATTTTTTCTTAAATCACCTGCCACGAAAAATAAAATAAAAATACGGATTAATAAAAAATTATTATTAAAAGCTCTTAAAAATTTTTCTTTTCTTTTCTTTTATTATTATTATGGAATTTATGACGTAGAACTTTTCCCTTAAGGTATTTTAGTAGTTTCCAGGTATTTGTACATTATTATTATTATTATTATATATTAGGAGAAAGTATTTAAATAATTACGAAACGAGCGTTTATGGAACCAGAAATATTGATGATTGAATTACGCAAAAAAAAAAGAAAAAATTTGCAAAAATTTTTAACAAAAAAAAAACCTATCATCGCGTTTGTTTGTCTGTTTGTTTGTTTGTTTATTATATTATTTATTTAAACAATTTGGATAAGAATAAATTTTCGATAATATTTTTTTTTAACAAATCGAAATTCCATAATAAAACCTTCGAACTCCATCAGAGTTTGTTTTATTTTAACAACAACGACAACAAACGATTATTAAAATCGAAAAAAAAAAAATTCTCAACATACAACCGTTTAAATAAAGTAATAATAATTATTATTATCTCTCTCTCTCTTTTCATTAAACAAACAAACATACAAAAAAAATTATTATTATTAATAAAAAAAAAAAAAAAACAACCTGTCAACTTTATTATTAAACGGAAATGTTTTTATTAAACTAACGGTTTTCCCCTTCCTTCCCCCTTTCCCCCCCGTACCTCCCCCTTATTCAATCCGTTATAATTCGTATTAACAAAAAAAAAAAACGGGTAACCAGATCGTAAAAAAAAAAACGTGTCACTAGTTTTTTTTTTCTCCAAGTTTTTTGGAAAAGAAAATTTTTTTTTACAATTTCGAAATAAATTAAAAATAAATAAAAATTAATAATAAATAATAAAATGGCGGCGGTTGTGTTCATCGAACGTTATAAATAATAATGAAATCGTGTTTGTTGTTGTTGTTGTTTTTCATTGAAACAAACAAAACAAAACAAAAAAAAAGTTTATTGCAAAATATTTTTATTTATTTAAATAACCTTTTTTTTTTGTTAATAATTATTCGTGATTTGTTGTATGCGAAATTTTTTTTTTTTTTTTTAACGATTGTGTAAAAAAAAGATGAACGACGAACGGATGAAAAGGCGGGAAAATTATTAATAATAATAATAATAATAAATTTAATTAATTTTTTTTTTTGTTACCTTGTAACGGAATCTTTCGTAAATTAAAAATTTACTCCAAAGTTTTTTTTTTTTTTTTTTTTTTTTTTTTTATTAACGGTTGGCAACATTTTTTTTTTTTAAATATCATTTTTGTGAACGTGATGATTGAAATACGGGAAAGGTTAATTAATTTGAAGGGAATTGGGGGGGGGCAGGGGGAGGAGAGGGAGAGAGGGTTTAAGTTAACTGGAGAATCGATAAAGAAAATAATAATGATAATATTGAAATGGAAAAAAAAAAATTTTTTTTTTGTTTCACTGTCAACAAGGGCGTTCATATGAACTTGAAAAAGTGCGATTTTCTACCACGGCAAAAAAAGAAAAACATCAACGCCTCTGCCACGAGCAATGGAAAACATTTAAAAAAAACAAATTACACGGTTTAACCAATTTGATTTAATTGGGGGGGGGGGGGCACTCGAATTTGTTTTTTTTCCTACCATAAAAAAAATCATTTAAAAAAAATTTTTTTTTTATTTTTCTACCACCGGAAACAAATCTCAGCTCGTTACGTCATCTACATATAACCCTTAAATAAATTTATTTAAAAAATTATTATTATTATTATTATGTAAAACTTGTTATTCTCTCTCTCTCTATAAGTCTTTATTAGATATCCTAATTACCATGAACTCGATTTCTTCTATACGTTTTTTTTTTTATTCTGTCCTTGGTTTCACATTAAAGGATATTCAAAAAAGTTAGATATAATCAATTCCAGCCAGCCTTTGGAAAAAAAGAATAGAAATGGAAGAACAAAACAATAATATTAACGGTTTTAATAAATGATGATTATAAAATATCTATACTGGAGAATCTACTGGAATGAAATGGAACACGTTTTTACCTCGTTTATCTTTCATAAAAAATTATTCTTGTTGCCTTTTGGAAAAAAAAAAAAACCTTGTGGAAAATAAAAAAACTGCATGGAAAGCCAAAAATTTTTAAAAAGCCAAAGAAAACCGGGAGGAAAAGTTCAAGGCGATGGAAAAAAAAAAAAACTTGATTTCACTCAATCGAATAATATATCTCTATGCCATTTTTTTTTTTTTTTTACGACGCCGTCTTTTTTTTCTTTTTCGTTACGTAATTTTTATAAAACGACAGTAAAATTTATATCTTTTTTTTTTTTTTATTTCCACAGCTTTTTTTATTTCGAATTTTTTTTTTTTTTATAAATTTAATGTTGATGATAATAATAATTAAATCATTATTAATTTTAGTTGATTCCACGTGTAATTTGGTCTCGTTTACGCGTTTAAAAAAAGGCGCGAAATTGTTTTGTAGTGTGCGTTCAGAAACAATTTTTTTTTTTTTCTTAAATTTTTTGTTTTTTACTCAATGACTCTCCGATATTTTTTTTTCATCGTAAAGTGAATATAATAGAGAAAAAATGAATTGTTAACCGATTATTGACTAGTTCCACGTCAAATTTTAAAATTTAGTTTTTCATCGAAAGGAAAATTAAAAAAAAAAAAAAAAGTAAAATTTTTCAAAGGGAAAAATTATGGGATCCGTTAAGCGACGACGTAAAATTCGAAATTATTATTATTATTATTATTATTATTATTATAGTAAATAAGCGGAATACGTGTGAGAAATTATTGAATATACAAAAACACACCCAAAATTGTATTTAACAGAAGTTTTCAAAGGCAAAAAAAAAAAAGAAGAAAAAAAAAATTACAAAACTTGTTGAATATGAAAATTAAAAACTGCTTCCACGTCTTCTTTTTTTCTTCTGCTCTCACGTACAATATACATTTAAATCGGTCAATACATAAATCATTGATTTTTTTTCTTTTTTTTCCAGTTATTAAAATTTTCTTATACGAATTTGAATGCAAATTTTTTTTACTTTCCAGGTAGTATGAATTACACACACGCACGCACTCACGCACGCACGCACGCGTTTACCCTTGATACGAGTTATAAATTATAACTTTATTATTTAAATATCATTTTAGTTGAAAAATTTTTCTCCTTTCTTTTTCCACGAAAAAAAAACGAAAATACACGCGGTCGATAATTATTCATCCCCACGTACGAAATTCGAAATTAATTGTAATTGCAAATTCGTGTAATTAGAAAAAAAAAGACGTGGTAGAAGAAGAAGAGGAAAAATGAGACGGGAAAATGTAGAAAAAAAAAAAAGTGTCAGCACCCACTCACCGTATATGGTTTATTACTATCCTGCCTGTTGACCTCGAAAGCTTTTGAGGTCAATTTAATGATCTACCAAGGTCGAGCTTTTGTTTATCTTTAATCGTGAGCTCATTTTAAAAAAAAATTTTCCAGTTCCAGACAATATTTCTATCAATTTTTTTTAAAAAATTAATCCCTATTAAAAAAACCACTTTTATCCATACAACAAGGAAGAGGAAGACGAAAAACTTTATCAAATGACAATAATGATAATAATAATAATAATTAATAATAATAATGAACGGTTATCTTTATTCAGGTACGAATTACCTGGTAATAAATATATAAATTAATAATTAATTATTTCTAAATCGTTCTATTATCTTTCACTTGTTCCAAAAAAAAAAAAAATTATTTAAAATTCTACAGGTAAACAACAACAACAACAACAACGGTTACTGGAGAAAAAAAGCCGCCTCCTTTGTTTTGAGGTCAATGGCTTAAGAGAAGAGTAAAAAAACGCCTCGCCATGTTTTACTTCTTATTCTTCTTCTTCTTACAACAACCACGTTTGGAAAAAATGAATAAAAAAAAATAAAAAAAAAATTTGTTCGTGTTTACGAATCGATTTCGAATGAAAAAAATTCTCCAAAAAAAAAAAAAAAAAAATTTTCAGCTTCATTTTATCCAGATTTACTCCAGCTTTACTTCCCCCCCCCCCCGTTTTTGCTTTTTTTCGTGTCTGGAAAAGTGAAATAAGCACAGTGAATTTTTTAAATTTTTTTTTTTAAATTTTTAGTCATTTACGCAAACGAACAAACAGATAAACAAATAAACAAACGACTCCAACCACGATAGTTTTCTCCAGACGTCGAATAATTATTAATTTTTTTTCTTTTTTTTTTGAACTAAAAATTTCGCACAAAAGATAAAAAAATCGTTTAATAAATAAAAAATACGATAATGATAATAAAAATTGAATGAATGAATGAATGATTGATTGATTGATTGATTGATTGATTATTCACACGAGAAAAAAATCTGATAAATTACAAAAAAAAATTTTTAAATCGTTTTAATATAACGAAAACAAATTTCGCGCGGAAGTTTTTTTTTTTTTTAATTATTCATTTTTCTCGCTGGAGAAATTTTTTTTTTGTTTTTTTCTCCAGGGATTGGAATTACGAATGACTAAAAAAAAACAATTATTTTAAAATGTAACATTAATTAATAATTAAAACACTCTCGTGAAAAATTTCACCTTTTTTTTTCCATGTGAAAAAATTACTTTTTTCTTTAAAAAAAAAAAAAAAAAATACAAGGAAAAGAAAATTTGCTGGAAAGGAAGTGACGATGGAGAAAAAAAAAAAAAATTCGTACGTAATCTAACGGGTTTGAAATCTCTCAAATCATTCGATTCATCATTATTATTATTAAGGAACACGTGTGAACAAACTGATTTTTTGTAAACGTAAAAAAAAAAAAACGGTAATCATTTTGATAAAAATCGAATAAAAATTCCAAACCCAAACGTTTTCCAGCCGTTGTTTCCTTTCCAGGCATCCTTAAAGAAACAAACAAACAAACAAACAAACGAACAAACAAAAATTTCGATAAAATAAAAATCTT